TATCAGCGAATGTGAGGAGGTTGGCTTTGAGGTAGCTGCCGGGGAAGGAGGTGGTGGTGAGGCAGTGATTGGAGAAGGTGAAATGACTTTTTTATTTTTTTTATAGTTATAATTGAGGTGGAAAATAAATAAAAAGTGATCTTATAAATTTTTATTATTTTTTAATTGCCACGTCACACATTTAACGGTCAATTTTTAGAGTTGACTGCCACGTAAGCAAAAGTTAACGGAGTTGGACGGAGAGTGACCAAACATGAACAGTTTCAGTAAACTGAAGTACCGCCAATGGATTTAAATATTTCGAGTGACCAAACTTGAACGTTTTTTATAATTTCAGTGACCAATCATGCAACGTAACGAGTTTACCCTTTCATCCAATTATCTGTTAAGTAATCGTTAAAGGGCCCGTGAAATGACTCCATTACCCCTCATTTACTCATAAATACTTCTAATTTTGATTTTAATTATTTTATATCCCAAAGCAATAAAAAACCCAATATAATATAATTGTTGGGCAGTGCGGTGGTCTCCCCATTGGTGGCGTTCAATCCTTCGCCTAGAGAGAAACTGTAACCGTCGGCTCTGAGTCCCCCTCCTTCGTTTTCGCTGACGCCGGAGGATTTCGCTGGCCGACGACCTCCTGACTCCTGAATCCCGAGTTCGGAAACGCCCTTCTCCCTCGCTGTCAGTATCGCTAGCCGGTGTTCTGTCGCCGGCGATTTACTTCCATGTCTTTTTTCTCGAATAGAACCTCCAATCGAATGTCGATTTTCCTAGCCGTTGCTTGGCCGCCTATTTCGACATCCACCATATTAATATTAGTCATCGTTGCCTCGATCGCCTATGTCGAGCACCACCATCTTAGTCCCTGGTTTTGGCTTCCGCTAACAGATTTAATTAAAGTGATGTCGACGGCGCCCCAAAACTCATATGGAAGATTAGGTTGGTGAGATTGACGCCACACCCTTGTCTATATCTTCCAATCCCGTTAGCCTTTAGCTCTGCAATCAAACCTCACCAGGCCATCAACCTGCAATACAAGAGGAAGAAGAAACTTGCACAAGTATCAAAAAGAGGAAGAAACGACAGGAGATGCCGGGAGTAGACGCCACCGCATGGAATAATCGGCAGGGGGAGACGGACAGTTTCCGTCGAGTGGGTATGAATTAGTTTAGGGTTTGATTTTTTTTAATTAATTAATTTGAGACACAATATTTAAACCAATGTTTAAGAGTAAATGAGGGGCAATTGAGTCATTTCATAGCTTCTTTAATGACCACTTCATAGATAATTGGATGAAGGGTAAACTCGTTACGTTTTAACATTAGAAGGGTATGTTTGTGCAAAAATTTAGTGGAAGGGTATGTTTGTTAATTTACAATAGTACTAGAGGGTTACAAAATGCTATTAACAATAAAATCTAAAAGTCTAAAACGTAAAAGACTAAGTATAAATTTTCATTGAAATTAAAAATCCCTCTAAACTAAGTTCACCCTTCCCTGTCAAAACTATAAAAAAATCCCAATCCCCCCAAAACAAAAACAAGGAGACGAATGGATCCAAAATGAATTCCTCCGCCAGTCCGTCGGGCTCTAGTTTTCTTTTCAGTCTTTTGATTAAGAAAATATTTTACGGAGTCATCATTTAGATTACTTGAGTTGAGTGGTGCACTAGATCCTAACAGTTTTTCCGGTCTTTTGATGAAGAAGATATTTACAAACTTTTTCAAGAGTTTTGCTTCGAGACTTTGAAGAGCATGAGATGCATTCTTTGAAGAATGAGCTATGATATTATTGCCGCTCATGTGGTTTCTAGTGAGGAATAGGAAGTTTCCTCTCTTACAAAATTACTAGAGAAGCTGTCAGAAACAGGGTTGGAGACACAATACAGATTAATTTGTCGGTTGATTTGTCTTGTGTTGACCTTGCCTATTTCAACGGTTACCATGGAGAGAACATTTTCAGCAATGAAATATGTGAAAACTGTCATAAACCAGTTGGTCCCAATAACTCGAGTTGTTGGGAGAAGGTTATTATGGATCTTATACCACTATCTTACACGCCCCCTCAAACGAAAGCCAACTCATGAGTTTGAAGTTTGCATAGGGCCACCATACCTCATGCTTTTATCAACTGTTAATATTGCAGGTCGTGGATATTCGAACACACAATAACTTGGTCAAATCAGCTCTGATACCATGTCATAAATTAGTTAGTCCCAATAACTCGAGTTGTTGAGAAAATGTTATTATGGATCTTATACCTCTCTTAAAAAAACTAATTTGCGCAACAAAATGACCGATGGATTTCTCGTTGATTGCCTAGCTATTTTCTTTAAAAGAGAGTATACTGTTGGTATGGATGGAGATCCTATGACTGATGGATTTTCCAAATTAAAAGACCTCCTAGTACAATTGGCATTGTATTGAATGAAAACTATAGTTTTTTTTGTTTATGATATCCAATATTCTATTCAAATGCGGCCCAGTTCTCTGCTATGTCCTGGATCCATCGATTTTCCTTATCATTCTTCCATTTCTCAAGTGACTTCACTGAGATAAGATGTAGAGTGTTACAATGTGGTATCAGAGCCGTTATCGGCAATGACGAAGACTGCGCGTATGGTTTCCATGAAAGAATGTGTCGCCGAAGTTTTGACTCATACGACAAAATTGAAGGACCGCTTGGCGTCTTTCAATGCACAACTGGAGGAAATTGGTGGTCGCATCCAAACGAACATGACGCAACTGACGGAAATCCGCGACCATGGTGAAGGAGCAGCGACTCCTAACTCTGGCCACTCGAGCTGATGGCCATACGCAACAATTGGCGACGATTTTGACGCAATCTGGAGCAGTAGAAACTCGTCTGGACGGATTTGAGGAGCAAATTGGAACATTGAATGGACAATTCACAGACTTGCTCACTGAGTTAAGACAAAAAGGACACCATGCCGCTGCTGAGGACGTCAGATTGCAGCTGATGGATCAAGATGTCGATCGAGGCTTGTTGCTGCTCCCGAATAGAGGCGTGGAGCCTATGGAGCTCCATGGACTAGGTTTAGAACACATCGAGTTCCGGAGGGCATCATTCTTCCACTAGCTGCTCCTAACGGCGATCGCGGTCCCTTTTAGTATGATCGGAACGAAGTTATAAGGCTTCCACTTCCATCTCGTAGTCGTGTACAGGATGACCGTGAAGATGAGCATCGAGGTAATTTCCACTACCAAATTCCTAGGTTAGATTTCCCCTCTTTCAATGGCGATAAACCAGGGGATTGGGTCCGGAAATGTGAGAAGCTCTTTGAGGTGTACCACATACCCGATAATAGGAAGGTTAAATTATCAGTGGTTTATTTTGAACAAAGAGCTGATATTTGGTTCAAGGGGTGGTCTTCTGGTAGGTGCATCTATGTGTGGGGTGAATTCGTTTAAGCCTTGTGCAATCGGTTTGAGGATTTCACTATGGGGGGTGTTGTTGGTGAATTCAACAAACTCAAACCGACAGGAGCATTGCTGGATTATTAGGAGAAGTTCAATCAACTTTATTCATTGATGCTTAGCTACAATCATGCTTTTAAAGAGGATTACTTCATTTCCAGCTTCATTAGTGGTATCGAGGAGGAACTTCGACGGTGGTAACAATGGTGCAGCCTCAAACTCTCGGCCAAGCTTTTCAAATGGCTCGTTTGGAGGAGGTTTCGAATGAGGCTCAAAAGAGGAAGTTTCACAATCAAGATCGGTCCTACTCTAGCCCTATTCTTAGTAAGAAACATGGTGTTTACGACGTGTTTTCATATTCTGGAAAAGTTGTAAAACTTGGTGTCTACAGGGCTCAACAAATATCTCTATCTTACTATACAATCATTCACGAACTAATCGCTTATTCAATTTCGATACATGTTCTTAAAGTATACCAAAACTGAAAATGTTATTTCAACACTTGCAGTTGAAATCGGTAAAATCAATAACTTTGAGAAGCAAATAAACCAATGGATATGATAGAATGGAGGGAATAAGGGTAGCTTGTAATTAGGTTCAATTGTTATTTTGAAAATAATTGGGGAAAAGAATAAATTTTTTACTATTAAACTTGTGTTGAAAACACAATAAAAAATTAGTCGTACGTACACTAATGGAAAACATGTGTACTAATAATCTTAGTATTCTAATTTAAATCACCTAGTCTATCACTAATATATATTTTTACCTATATGAAAACTACTACCAGGATTGGAGCCCCTAGCCGCAAGGAAACTATGCCTTCCCCACTCTGCTCCTGCTTCTGACTGTCTGAGCTGCCTTCTTCTTCTTCTTCTTCTCTCATGTCTCTTCCCCTTCTTTCTCTTCCTCTTCTGCCATTTTTGTTCAAGGAAGCTAACGAAAGTCTGTCAAACAAGAAGGAACCGTTTAGCTAACAATTTGAAATCAACAAACTATCGAAATCTAGATGGTAAACCCTAAATGCACCCAGCATACTGCATGAACCATTTCTCTGAACAACCAAATGAAAACTTCAAGCAACTAGTTCTTAGTAAAAGCAGCTGATAACCATTAATGGAGCAAGGGTATAAACCACCCCACCACTATACAAAGATCAGGGCGAAACTCAAACTCCATTGTGGCTAAGGGACACGGAAGAAATTTAGACGAAGTGAATGTGACAAACCTGACTTCATGTACGCTGCACGACCAGAACCGCACGGCCGTGTGAAATTATGGCCTGTCCGTGTGAGCTTCCTGGGAATTCCACACGGCCACGAAGGATCCTTTACACGACCAGTGTGGCTTGCTCGCGCAAAGGGGTTCCACACGGCCACGTCACACTGCCGTGTGGCATTTAGGTCTGGCCGTGTGGTTTCCCCAGCTTTTCGTCCACGTTCTAACTTCGTCCAATCGGCCCAGAACTCATGCCCAAACCTTCCTTCACGTGCTAAGACCTGAAATATCACAAACAAGAACAACCTAGCGTGAAATTGGCCTAAAACACGAGAGATGAGATTCAAACAGTATAGGAATGATGGACAAAAACACGTGTATATATCAAGTCATCATTTACGTTCGCAAAATCATCCCAAGATCCCTCGGGACATACAATGAATTTATTGACCTCGTCCCATCCCCAACCACTTTGTTTCCTCATAAATGTTATTGCATGCCATCTCTTTTTCAGTTTTTTGAACCTGCCTTCAATGTTAGGATATGCCTTGACCCTGCATCCCGACACTCTTTCCTGCAACAGTTTCTTTAACTGGTTATAAGCCCCATTCTTGCAGTTGGCGTCAACGATCTGCCCCTTCTCTACTAGCTCCAGAATACAGTCAACAAATGGCTTTCCTAGTTCCTCTTTCCAGTACGTATATTTCTTAGAGCAAGCACCATCCATATCTTCATCACGTTGCTTTCACTTTCCCATGCTGCAAAACAGAACAATACAAAAGAGGATATCCATGTCTTAGCCTAGATAAGTACAAAGAGAACAATATAAACAACTCTAGTTTCGTACTGCTATAGATAAGTACCATTAAACACACATAATACAACCAATCTATGAATAGAACATTGTATTCATTACAAATGGAAACAAGATAAACAACTAAATCAATATCAGCTTCAACTAGACTACAATAAAGCAGGCATCTTAAACGGACATTGAAAAGGAGGGAAACAAATGATCACTGCTTATAGGGCTTTGCAATTTGCATACATATCTTACCCTGCGTGTGCATGAGCTTATCCTTGTGGCTTACCTAGGTGTTTCTTAATGCCCAACTAAAGCCAGCAAACAATATACTTAGTACTTGGTACGAGCTTAGATAAGTGCCGATTTCTGTTTCGATCATGTCGAGATGAACTTGCTGCTCATACTAACAGGTCTGCACCCAGCAAAGCAAAAATCAATCATTGAGACTACTACTAGCCATGAGAATCACTGACAAAAAACAAAAGTTGGTCCATAGACGGATCAAACACTGCGAGTCTGCGACCAAATAGGCATTCATTAAATAACAACCCAACTGCGCCGAACACAGCCTCCATTCAAATTAAGCAGCAAGTTTAAAACCACAGAAAAGCTATTATGCCATGATCCAATATTCAGATAAATTCATGGGATTCATCTAAAACTTTCAACTTCTTTCACAATCCAAAACTGAGCAGTAGTAATATTTCAGAAGTGAAAACACTAACACAAAAAAGGAGGGGCAAAGAGGGGATCCCAATTTTGTCTACTTGTCAAAACAACTACCTTGAATTACAACTGAACAAGTCCTCAATATTTAATGAATACAGCCAAACAACAATGAATCAAACTCAAGACGAAGCTCGAAATCTAGCAGGTCGAGTTTGCCACATCTCTGAGACCAAATCAGTCCTAAACTGATTCCAAGCTTCAGTTGGTTGAGTCCGAAGCACAAATCCCACGCAAAGCTGGCGAGATCGAAAATGGAGATCGGACGGACTTCAAGACGACCGTCAACGTCGGTGTAGATCGGAGCTGGTAAAACTCCGCTGCAGTTGCCGACGTTGCTAGGTTTATCTCCGCTACAGTCGCCAATGATGTGAGGTTGAAACTCTGCTTGCAGCTTCTCGTATCGGGAGGGAAGAAAGAGATGTAGATGGGAAAGAGAGATTGGTGTTAGAGAGTGGTATAAGATCCAACAGAACTTTCTCCCAACAACTCGAGTTATTGGGAGCAACTGGTTTTGACATGGTATCAGAGCTGGTTTGACCAAGTGGTCGTGTGTTCGAATCTCCACGACCCCCAATATTAATAGTTAATTAAAGCACAAAGTATGGTGGGCCTGTGCAAACTTCTGGTTCTAGACAATTCGAAGTGGTGGGTCGTTGAATAAAGAGTGAGGGTAAGAAAGTAATACCAAAAAATAAGGAGGGATAAATTAGGAAGGTTGGAAAAAAATAGGCAAGAGATTTCAAAAAATCTGAGGTCCATCAGCTATTTTAAATTATCTAATGATAGGATTTTCGAAATTCCTAGTGACTCAAATCCCTCATTTTCATTTTCCTATCCAAACAAAGAATTGTGGCAAAATCCCTAATGACAAGAAATTGTGGCAAAATCCCTACCCACATTTCCTAATCCAAACAACCCCTTAAGATCTTTCATGCACCTATTTGGTTGAAATTTAATTGGAGGATGAAATTCGCAATCGTATCAGTGTAGACATGAAAAGAACTGTCTACAAAATACAAGCAAATCAGGACTCCAGACGCCTGCAGATCAACTTTTTGATTACATGGTATACTCGCAATGCGATGGTGTCATACTAGATCACTAATAACTCTCTTAAAATGAAATTGCTCGAAGTGTCATGAGCCGGGAAGATGCAACAGCCCGTGTCAGGGACTCAAAAAGTGATCAGCCGATACAGCATCTGCAGCAAGCCAACATGATCATTTGTTCGCCTCTGCCATCCTCTTGCGTATTTCATGAGCAGTGTTGAAAATACCCAACGTCTGCTTGTTGCAGACGAAGCATTTCTTGTTCTTGGAATGATGCTGCAAGAAAAAGACAGAAGAAAACACAATAAGTGAATGTTACTCACGTTACAGAATTGCAAGCTAAACATAGAACTTGGCAAAAGAATTGATGATCATGATTCTAAATTTCGGGAGATGAGTAGGTAGGTACCTTTAGAGCACAATGTTCACAGAATTAATGCTTGCACTTGGTCACAACAGGATCTTCAAAAGGCTCCCTACAAATGAAACATGCAAATGGCAGCGCATCCTCGTCATCATCGTCGTCATCATCATTGGCTTCATCAAATTCACCTTCCTCCTTGGCCAACGCACCCATAGCTAATTTCTTCTTCCTTGCCTTCTCTGCCTCATCCCACTCATTCTCCATTTGCCATCCAGACTTGTAATCCCCTCGATCATGCATAAACTTGCAAGAATCTCCATAACCACAGTAACCGGTCTCTTTGTAATCTTTACATATATCCGGCTGATAATCAAACCTTGCTGAGACCCTGATGTGTGCAGATGCCCTAAATGGCCCATGTGATCCACCAGCTTTCTCACTTGCGATTGTTAGCTCTCTTCTAAATCCAGCTTTGTGATCTGTATACCCATGAATTCCTTTGTACAGCTTCTCATTGCCGCCCGAAGAAATCTGTTTGTTACCCTTCAGATCCTCCTCTGCTTTCTTAAGAGCTCTTTCACGTATTGCCCTTGCGTCTCTTCCAAAGTCTGTCTCGGTTTCCAGAGTTGCTGTTTCCCTACTGTCATTTTGTACCTGAATTTCCTTTGAAGACTGAAACTAAAAGATGGATTTCTCATTGTTGTCCGAGTTGGAATCAGATGGCTTTGAGCTCTTGGAAGGTCCTGTCGAGAAGTATAGCTTGTTATCAGACTTTGGCACCTTCTTCTGATTGTTTAAGAAAGAGCTGTCGGTTTTTGGATCCTCGGCATCTTCGTCTTCTACTGCTCTCTTCCTGATGTTCTTCCCCTTAGTTGGCTTTCTGAAAAAGCTGCATACTGCAGAACAGCAGAAGGCGAAAAGATGTATCATAAGAACCCAAGAAAATGCGAACAAAGCAAATCAAAGCAGAAACTACGGTTCAAGAGTGAGCATCAATACCTTGTTCGGGCTGTTGAGATTCTCCTGAATCTGCCATTGCCGGATTAATGGGCAAAAGATCACAGCTTCACCGAAGCCTGTCCTCTGAAAAACATCATTAAGCACAATTATAACACTGCCAACCCTAATAAATCACAATGAACTATCACAAGTCTATCCACACAAAAAACTAAACATGGAGCTCCCCAGAAACCTAATTAATCTCAACAGCTTAACGCCTCCATAGTTCAATTTCACAGGAAAGATAATCAAAATGGAAAATATAATTCCCTCTCTGAAATCACTTTCAATGGAAAAAAAGGAACATTCAGTTAGAAGCCAATATTACAGAGGCAAATACGATTCGAAGGTAATCCACTTTGCAGGAGGATGCCTTCTCAGCCTCTGCTATAAGGAATTGACTCGAGATCTCTTTCCTGACCTTGGATCGTCATTCCCAGCAAAATCCATTGGCAGCCGATGGTACCCACCAAAGTCACAATTTTCAGTTGGTTGGCTTTCGGAGAAAAATCCTGACAACCGTTCAATTTCGATTACGAGGGTGGATTCTCCCCAATCATTGTTGTCTTTGATTTGCTTCAGAAGAGACAGCAGATTGTCAAATGCTTTCTGGCCACTTCCACATGCAGTGTTCTGGTTATTATGGACTGAGTGGAATGCTAGACTTTCTCGTGAGTCGTGATCACTACACAAGCAGCGCCACTCTATCCAACAGAATCAACTACATCATTTGCTCATGGTTGGATAGTAGCAACAAACTATCTCAACAAGAACTTCAATCCCTACATTTGATGTTGTATGGCACAAGCCAAAACCCATTTGAGCCACCATAACAACTTGTTTCTAGTGTTTGCATATGTACCTTCAGCCACCTTTATTGTACTTTATCATTGGAGCAAGTCCATTACTTATGGATGAACTCCCTTTCGATGAATAAAACTTAGCAGTAATTCATTAAGAAAAAAAAAGATTCAAAGGTAACAGAACACTGATAACTAGCAAACTATAGTCAGAAGTAGAAATTTAATTAAAAGAATGAAAGAAATGAAGTCAAAGCGTTCAATAGTGAAGATAGCAACGAATGGACTAACCTTGCAATGGCCAACCACTAGGTCTTTCTTCTTCCACTTATTAGCACACGATTACAGCATGCTCGTCCTCAGTTTTAAGCTCCGGGTGAGGAATTTCTTCCGCCGCGGGCAAAAAATAAGGATGAATCGAGGACAAAGTTGGAATCTCCGAATTCGCTCTTCGGCCGCCCTCGCACGCCGCCGCGACTCCCGTCTCAGTTGTGCCTCCTCCGCTGACTTGTTTCTCTACGTCTCCTTCTCCCTTCAAGCGCCTTGTTCACTCGAGATTTCGCGCTTGGATTTGCCGGCGACGAGCTCGTCCGATACCTCTCCCTGATAATTTGTACCGGAAATTGCTCCTGTTCTCAGCAGATTTCAGCGGTATATCTTCCGACCGACTGTTTCAGCAGCTCTTTGAAAGCTATTTTGCTTTTTCTTACCCTAATTCGAGATTTTGATTAACCGACCATAGAGATGGAAACGACGTCATATCTTGTGTTTTTTTCTTTTATGAATTTAATTAAATGGACCAGGCCAACTTCTGACAAAGCAGTCTGGGCTTACTACGGCCTTCCAAGCTTCCTTCCTTGCTTTCGTTCTCTCCTTGTTTGGCGCTGGTTTTTCTTTGGACTTCCTTTGCGCCCCGTTCACTTCCCATTTTGTTTTCTGTTTTCTATTGTAAAAATGAAAATCAAGAAACAAATGATAAGAAACGTGTTCACTTGTAGTTTCGTTTTCGTTGGAAAAATTCATTTGGCATAAATGAGGAAGCTAGAAGGAAACCATTAAAAGTTGTTTCCTGGAAATAATGGGACGGGTTATTCCCTGTTTCCTAGCGGAAAATGGATACTGCTGATTAATGAGGTCGTTTGTTCGATCCCTGCCAACGACTACTTTTTTTACTTATCTCCTCTTTTCCTAAATACCGCCGTTTTGCCCACTAAAAGTAAAACCCTACGGGCAGCTAAACTCGATCCCTCACCCACGCCTGAGTGAGAAGAGAAGCAGCAGCGACGACCGCGTCTGCAACGGGAAGCAGCGAAGGCGAATCCTTCCTCCAGTCGGCGAAATCAAGCTGCAGCGACGCGATTCTGCACCGTCGAAGAGAACCTACAGCCGGTCGCCATCTCCCTCCTCCACCCGACGATTCGTTCGAGCCTCTCCATCGGACGAATCCTCTCCTCCAGCAGCGTCGAAACAGCCGGCCTTCCCGCTCCCCAGCAGCATCGACGATCTCCTCTGCTTGAGGTTAGTCCTCTTCCAACTTTGCCTTGTGTAGGAACATAACATATTGCCTCCATGAAAGATTTCCTTCTCCACAAAGATTTACTTGCTCCCCTGTTTGGTTCTCTTGAAAGTCTACCCATTTCCATGTTTGATTCATGTGTCTATGATATGATAACTGATTCTGATGTCATCCGCCAAGCTTTGGGCCATCGTTGAAGTTTTTGGTGGTTTAATTAGCTAGCTCGGATGTCAATTATCTCCTCATGTGTTCGTCAAATTTGCTGATTGTGGTGGTTTAATTAGCTAGCGGTGAAGTGTGTGAAAGACGTGTTAGAACTGGCAATTTGTTTGCCCTTTGGTGAATTGTATGCCCTTTTGTTTGTTTGTAATCTGTTTGGCAATTGATGAAGTGTGTGATCTGAGGTTGTTTCTTGTTAATTAGTTGAGTTGTTACAAATCCACTTAGAGCAATAACTGTCGATTTGAGGACTAAGATCCGACTACTGATGAGCAACTGAAAGTAAGTGGTGATTTTGGCACTTAGAGCAGTTTCTGTGACTAATGGGAAGGGTGGGTTTAGATCAGCCTGGGTGATTGGTGTATCTGGAGTCCTTTTTTGGGGGGTGGGTTTCGTTGGGATATGTTGATGCCTTTGTTGTTTGAATTGTAGTTTGATAAGCAATGGATGGTAATGAGGTGGAAAACGGTTTGGTTGAGATATGTAGATGCCTTTGTTGTTTGAATTGTAGTTTGATAAGCAATGGATGGTAATGAGGTGGAAAACAATACTTCAATTACGATACTTTATTTGAAGAGTATCGAGATTATTGCATGAAAGAGAATGTCAATGAAGTGCAATGAGGGCAATAAAGGAACTTATTCGACATATGATGTTATTCTTGTATTGTGTTTATTAGTACTTTGAAAACAATGTCATTCATATTAAAAATTATAATTATGATTAGAATTGTATGATACTCAATGAAAAAATTGTGATACTCAATTACCAGAAAACAGTAGGAAATAACTAAACACGTTTTCCGGCCGCCATCGGATGGTGGTTTTGGCAACTGAAAGTAAGTGGTGATTTTGGCACTTAGAGCAGTTTCTGTGACTAATGGGAAGGGTGGGTTTAGATCAGCCTGGGTGATTGGTGTATCTGGAGTCCTTTTTTGGGCGGTGGGTTTGGTTGGGTGATGACTCGATATTTGCACATGTTTTCCCCTTTGTTTCTTGATCGTTTAAGCTTACATTATCGCTTCTTCGGCCTATTTTACGCTAGGTTGTGTTCCTTTGTCACATTTCAGGTCCTAGCACATAAATTGAAGCGTAGGCGCAAGTTTCAAGTCAATCGGAGATCAATTGGCGACTCGGGGGAAGAAACTCGGGTATGACTTGAAGAAGAATGGATTTCTACCTCAGTTTGTGACCATATAATAATGTAATCTTGTCATGAGAAGAAAGAGGACGAGACTACGAGCGTTTGGGATCAAACGGCACCTGATTTGGAGTCCGAACGAGGGAGAAACGAAGAATCAAAGATAGGGGAAAATTGGTTTCGGGCTTCTCTGAGAAACATAAGGGGGCCCTATCGTGACGCTAAAATCCCCGGTAGGGGATTTTTAGCCTTGATAGGGGATTTTACCAAAAATCCCTCATCGTGAACCAAAATCCCCTATCGTGAACCAAAAATCCCCTATCACGAACGCAGGCTGTTAAAAGCATGTTTTGTGCGTTTTTGCAAGGGAGAGCTGGGTTTTGGATCCCAAACACCCAAGGGACGAACCAAAGAGAGAGAGGGTGATTTGAGGGCATTCTTGGAGTGGAATTGGAGGATTTCTTTGCCTTGGAAGCTCAAGGAACAAGTTCGGACTTGAAGACTGATCATCTGAAGATTCTTACTGCAGTCTCTCTCTTCTCTATGGAGTAACTTCCCTTCACTTAGGTTTTGAGGAACCCTAGCTATGTTTGTTTGATTGGATGATTGTATGAGTACTCTGACTTGATAATCTTGAGTTCATATTCAATCTATGCATGTTTTCACGATTCAATTCTGCTTTAGTCAAGATTATTGATTCTGCTTTGAACCTATGAGAGCGAATACCTGATTAGGTCAATAGAGCACCATAGATTGATAGTATTGGATCGATTGCTATAGTCGAGGGTTGATTCACTGCTTTGTATAGATTGAGAACCTCTTTCGATAGAGGGAGTCTAGTTCAGAACGCCTTGATCGGTTGTTCTAGAGAAGGATACGTCCCTCTAGGCAATTGACTCAAGAGGGCCTTGTTCCTTTAGTCGAGACTCAAGGTCTAGTCAAGGATTCTCCGCATTGTGAATGAAATTGAAACAAGTTAGAGATCATCAATCGTTAATCTGGCTAGTGGCTAGGGGGAATCATACCTAAGTGAGTTCCCAACCTGTAATTAGATTAACTTTAATTGTAGTTTGCTAGAGTAGTTTTAGTTCTTTCATCTTAATCTGGTTTGCTAGATAATGAACTGAAGCTGAGTAATAGTAACTCTAGAGACCCGTGGATTCGATATTTATTACTTGAGCCACTATACTGCAGTCCCTTTCATTGGTTACACTTGGCCATTGTTAGGAGTTGTGTCATAGCGAGTCAAAGTTTTTTGCGCCGTTGCCGGGGACTTTCTAGATTATTAGGAAAGGCAGAAGTTTGTTACTTTAGCGTTTTTCTTTTCTTTTCCACCCTTGCTTTTCACTTGGGTGTTTTTTGTTTTCGTTGGTGCAGATCTGAATCATGGATCCTCGTGGCTTCTCTAAACATAGGGGTATCCACCACCATCCGAGTGGTATGACCCCGAGACCCTCTGGAGCAATCAAGGAGGAGAAGACTATGGATTGGGGTTCCGGTACCAACCCCTTACTACGGAGAATAACCAGATCCCTGGGCATATCAAGAACAACCTTATTATCAAGAATAATTCCCCCCACAACCAGAAGGGCCATCGGAGCTGGAGTTACCCATGGCGGCCTTCACGGGCCATTCTGCAGAGCCATGCTACACTCCACCGCCAGATCCAAACTATGAATTGAGGCTTCTCATGGAGCAGTTTGCTCAAGACAGTGAGAGATCATGTGTCAGGATGGATCTTTGTACCCAGGCCTTTCGTGAAACAGAGGAGATCCTCCTGAGCCTTAAGAAGAGCGTCGATGATCTTGAGCGATCTTGTGCACAACCTGCTCCAGATCACCTTTCTGCTACCATACTAGAAGAGGAGGAGGAAGAAGAAGGCTACAAGGAAATTGTGGAGCACACTGAAGTTGTCACAGAGAGCTCCCGTGATGATCATGATCAGGAATGTCCTGTCGTAGCCGACCATACCTTCCCACATCCCAAACTGAGCTTTGAAGAGGCGGGCATGAGTGAGGAGATGCAAGAAGATCTCATGAAATAAATTGCTTGGCAACTTGCTCTCCAATCCGTGCTAGAACAAGAAGAGCAAGAAAGGGTGCAGAAAGAAGTTGTGGAGGATGACGAAAGTGAAGCAGGAGGAGTTCTTGATCATTTCCTAGGGGTGATACCACATGAAGAAGAAAGGGAGGTTGAAGAAGCAATTGGCGTCCAGGCTGAGGACGGAGTTAAGGTGGAAGAGGCTTGCACCGGCCATGAGTTGCAAGTAATATCCCCACCAAACTTCGAGGAACTGCTTAGCAAGGACCCATTTGCAGTGTCTCTTTGCCAGACCAAGGCCACTTCGACATCGGTCCCTCTTGGTGGACGCGATGGTGGTCAATCGATGCTGTCATATCTAGTTTGGGGCAATGAGATGAGAGAAGAGAAGAAGGGGTCTCGAGGGTGGAGACTTCATCCGCATCAAGTGCACGATCTTCCATCACCTGTCGTACCACATGTTCGTGACTTGAGACTCTACCTCATTGACGAGAACCTCAACTTCAAGGAGGTTCTAGCATGGACCGAAACTTAGGAGCCATCGTCCGGCTCACGACGTGAAAGAAGCGTTTGTTGGGAGGCAACCCAACCAGTCGGTTTGCATTTCTTTCTCTATTTCTCCTCGGTTGAGTCAGTTTTGTTATTTGATTTTGGAGTCAATAACTCAACCTTTGTGAGATTTTGTGTGGTGTTTGTGTTTTGAGTACTCTCTCCTCCTGGAATGCACCGCCTGCCTCGTCCACCGTCATTCACTCTTGATCTGGCAACTTCGTTCTACCCTCCTAATCTTTCCTCCATTGTGGACAATGTCGTGCTTAAGTGTGGGGGGATGTTCGATTATGTATGCGGGTGAATGTTTGGCTGTTTGTGTGCTTGGAGCCTAGTCCACTGTCCAAATTTCGATTTGAGGGTTCCAAGTACGTGTTTCCATGCAAATTGCCTGCTCAGTATGCTTTGAATTGACAGTCTCTATAGTAATATGCAACCTAGGGAGGTAGTGTAGCACTATGGAGGATGTTGAAGTATAAGATTTTTCCTATCTAGCTCTCTGCTGTGCCAGTTGATTTTGTGAATTAGTGGAGCTAAGACCGTTGAATTCATGTGGTAATGGTGACTCTGTTTGGATGGTGTTGTGGACTCGTGTATCGAACAGGGTGCTCATGTGGAAAATGGAAAGCAGTTGGTCCTCCATGTCGAAATCATCAAAATCCTAAACATGGGGTAAGCCCAACGTGTGTGGCACCGTTCATTGCACAAAATCGGGTTTTGGAGGAGATTTTAGTGATCCTTAGTGGGGTACTCCTACAAGGTGAAGCTAAGCTGTCTCTAATACAAGTAAAACTTCCACCCGTTGAACGGTTTGCCTACTTGAGGATGTATTTTAAAGGGCACGGATAGAGCTTCCGACCCCCCTTAATTTCATTGACCCTCCATACGAGTTGAGGAAAAGGAGTTAAAAGAAGTACCTTGGTGAGCGCCAGGTGTACAGAAATTGCTCTTGCTCGACTAATAAGGGTCGACCGTGCGAAAGACTTCAGTTGGAACTCCCGCCAAGTGAATGAAAAAAAAAAGAGGAAAATAAATAAAATGAAAGTGAAAAAGGGGTACCAACGGTGAAATGAAGTGAAAGAGAACCCCGGTACAACGAGTCTTTGGTTGTGAATTGTATGAGTCCCTTTATCCATGAACTCACTGTCTTACTTCCATTGCTTCTCATGATCCTGGCTTGAGTATGGTACTCGCATTGAGAGAGATAGGGAACGTCTTAGAAGACCAGTTGACCTCGTAAGCTGCTATATGATCTAGAAAATCCTCTACCGACGATCGGGGTTGTTTGTTGCTATAGAGGTCTTGAGAGCTGCATTGGTTTGAGTTAGGTTTTCTTGGGGACAAGCAAACGGTTAAGTGTGAGGGGATTTGATGACTCGATATTTGCACATGTTTTCCCCTTTGTTTCTTGATCGTTTAAGCTTACATTATCGCTTCTTCGGCCTATTTTACGCTAGGTTTTGTTCCTTTGTCACATTTCAGGTCCTAGCACATAAATTGAAGCGTAGGCACAAGTTTCAAGTCAATCGGAGATCAATTGGCGACTCGGGGGAAGAAACTCGGGTATGACTTGAAGAAGAATGGATTTCTACCTCAGTTTGTGACCATATAATAATGTAATCTTGTCATGAGAAGAAATAGGACGAGACTACGAGCGTCTGGGATCAAACGGCACCTGATTTGGAGTCCGAACGAGGGAGAAACGAAGAATCAAAGATAGGGGAAAATTGGTTTCGGGCTTCTCTGAGAAACAGAAGGGGGCCCTATCGTGACGCTAAAATCCCCGGTAGGGGATTTTTGGCCTTGATAGGGGATTTACCAAAAATCCCCCATCGTGAACCAAAATCCCCTATCGTGAACGCAGGCTGTTAAAAGCCTGTTTTGTGCGTTTTTGCAAGGGAGAGCTGGGTTTTGGATCCCAAACACCCAAGGGACGAACCAAAGAGAGAGAGGGTGATTTGAGGGCATTCTTGGAGTGGAATTGGAGGATTTCTTCGCCTTGGAAGCTCGAGGAACAAGCCCAGACTTGAAGACTAATCATCTGAAGATTCTTACTGCAGTCTCTCTCTTCTCTATGGAGTAACTTCCCTTCACTTAGGTTTTGAGGAACCCTAGCTATGTTTGTTTGATTGGATGATTGTATGAGTACTCTGACTTGATAATCTTGAGTTCATATTCAATCTATGCATGTTTTCACGATTCAATTCTGCTTTAGTCAAGATTATTGATTCTGCTTTGAACCTATGAGAGCGAATACCTGATTAGGTCAATAGAGCACCATAGATTGATAGTATTGGATCGATTGCTATAGTCGAGGGTTGATTCACTGATTTGTATCGATTGAGAACCTCTTTCGATAGAGGGAGTCTAGTTCAGAACGCCTTGATCGGTTGTTCTAGAGAAGGATACGTCCCTCTAGGCAATTGACTCAAGAGGGCCTTGTTCCTTTAGTCGAGACTCAAGGTCTAGTCTAGGATTCTCCGCATTGTGAATGAAATTGAAACAAGTTAGAGATCATCAATCGTTAATCTGGCTAGTGGCTAGGGGGAATCATACCTAAGTGAGTTCCCAACCTGTAATTAGATTAACTTTAATTGTAGTTTGCTAGAGTAGTTTTAGTTCTTTCATCTTAATCTGGTTTGCTAGATAATGAACTGAAGCTGAGTAATAGTAACTCTAGAGACCCGTGGATTCGATATTTATTACTTGAGCCACTATATTGCAGTCCCTTTCATTGGTTACACTTGGCCATTGTTAGGAGTTGTGTCATAACGAGTCATTGGGATATGTTGATGCCTTTGTTGTTTGAATTGTAGTTTGATAAGCAATGGATGGTAATGAGGTGGAAAACGGTTTGGTTGGGATATGTAGATGCCTTTGTTGTTTGTATTGTAGTTTGATAAGCAATGGATGGTAATGAGGTGGAAAACAATACTTCAATTACGATACTTTATTTGAAGAGTATCGAGATTATTGCATGAAAGAGAATGGCAATGAAGTGCAATGAGGGCAATAAAGGAACTTATTCGACATATAATGTTATACTTGTATTGTGTTTATTAGTACTTTGAAAACAATGTCATTCATATTAAAAATTATAATTATGATTAGAATTGTATGATACTCAATGAAAAAATTGTGATAATCAATTACCAGAAAACAGTAGGAAATAACTAAACACGTTTTCCGACCGCCATCGCACGCCGCCGCGACTCTCTAAGAACTCGCCCTTCCATCCCCGCCAATGCTTCTTCTTCCTCAAACCCTTGTCGCCTTTCAGTTTCGCATCCTAACTCCATCTCAAGCTCTCTACTAAGTAACTATCTGGCTGACGCAGGAAGAACACGAGCGGAACGAAACCAAAAGAAGGCGAAATGATGCAGATATGTAGAAGCTTGAGACAACTTTTAAGGTTTTCCCGGCGCATTTCTTCTGGTTAGCCCATTTTGCCTTGGTGGAATTCCTTTGTTGTTTCGATAGCTATCCCTACTGGTCAAATTTATGAACTTCAATTACGTAACTTTTGTTGCTAGGAATATACTTAGGGCAGAGCGGAGAAGCCAGAAGAGGTTACTCTGTCTCCACTTCAGTCGCCCCATTTCGTTCATTTCTTAGAACCACCAACTACCCAGGAATACTTTGGTGGAACTTCTCTTATTCTCAGAGGTAATTGCTCAGCGGAATGGGACATTCTGTAAGCTCTTTTGTTTGAGACCACTGTGTTTTCTTTACGAACTTTGCCTGACTTATGAATGGCAGTGATCTCCAGGTACTCGACAGCATCAGAAGAAGCATCTACTAGTATTCCTGCCCCTGCAGCAGATGATGATGTGGTCTCCTTTGTTCGATCCATTGCCGATGAGCATGAAGGTTGTTGCCCAAGTTTAGATTGCTTATGTGCAAGTTTTAGTTTTACGCATGGATTCAGGTCCACTTGGCTAGTTGATAGATGATGTCATTGATATGGTTTCAAAATGGATTTTGCAGGCCCAAATCATGTTTGGTTAAATGTATATTATGGAGATAAACCCTTCTTGAAGAGAAATGGGACATTTTTAATCCTCGCTGGACAGTTCTTACAGGATTCTGAAATAATTGCCATGCTTGAAAAAGTGAAGTTGCTTCAGCAGAGGTAGAGATCGAGTTTCCAATTTCCACTTGTGTTTCTTTCAGTATTGATCTAAACAGTTGCATTGTTAGGTTTGTTCAATTTGAGGATCTTCTCCCTTCTATGTTCCAGATTCTCCGAACTTTGTGTTTTGGGCCTTCATACCGGGAGTTCTGCTAGCTTCGCTGCTGATCGAGATCATGTTATTGACTTGATAATGAAAGAATACATCACCTTCCCCATTCTGTTGTCAAACAAGAACTTCACAGAGGTAAGGTAATAAAGTTCATCATAGAACAGCTGTGAACTGTAGTGTTATTATAGCTTGAACTTCTCAGAACCACCCTAGGATTCACTGTCAGTAAAGCTAAGAATGGTTGTTTTGCCTTTGACTGTCATGTCTAAATATGGGATTGGGCAAGTCTCAGTGCTGGTAAAAATGGTGTGGTTTGAAAGGAACTCCACTAATGCATTTGGAAGAAATACTTTGTGCTTTAGTGGAGTGAAAGGAAAATGCCATAGGCCGATTTTTGCTAATCTCTAAATAGTATTAGAAGAATGTTCCGTTTTATTTAGATGGAAAACGGAGTCTGCTACATTATGTTCAGAGAATCTGAGAATCCTCTAGTTCAGCATGAGAAGGATCTGGATATTGGAACACTTTATGCAGGTATTGCGGTGTCTTTGTCTTGGTTAGTTGAAGTTTGATTTCTTTGTCATTCTCACATTATGTGCATTTAGATAAAAGCTTGCCTTCTAGCATGACCTGTTTGTCATTACTATTCCCCTCTTAGAAGTATCATTCTTTGAAATGGGTACAGTTTGTTGCATATCGTTAGGGGGCAACTGAAGAGCTACGTCAAATTGATAGAAACTCCTACAAATAATCATATGATTACTTTTATATTCGTTTTGTCTTTTCGAACCTTTTCCAGTGGTAGAGGAGATGCAAGTACTACAAAAACAGAATCCTGGTGATGGAAACTCCAGTATGGCTTGTTTGAAAAGCACTTGGACAAAACTAGCTGATGCTGTGAAGGAACCATACATTGTTTCACCTATTCAGAACTTGCTTCTCTATTTCCCAGGTAAAGTATCTCTGGGATCTATGTGGTTTGCCTAAGATTTTTGGTCCTACTGCATGTAGTCTTGGCAGACTGCATAGTTGGTGAACTTTATGTTCAACAAGATGCGTATAAATTATAATAGATAACTTTGTTAATATAAATTTTTAAGAGAAGTTGTTCATGTTTGCTCAACAAGTTTCCCTCCCGGTTTTCTGCAGGCTGTATATCTGCAGATATAAGTGGCAGTCGGCTATTCTTTTCTGACACCAATCATCACTGTATCATCATTTCTGATGGTAATGGAAGTATTCTTGACTGTGTAAGTAATTAATTTTAATAACTTCAATATATTTGGTTTATGTGTCATGTGATGTCCTCCACCGTATCCTCAATGTTTGATAATTTTAACAAAAGTGCATGTTTGATGTAAAAAATAGTAAAGGGGCATGTTTGATAAAACATCATATTATAGGGGCATATTATACCTATAACCCTAATATATATCTACTTATATAATTTATCGTTGTTTGTGTATTTTGTTTGCGAAGAACCATGCAGTCAGGAGAGCTGACTTGGAGAGACGGGTTCTAGAGACGTTATATCCTTCTTCTAATGCTACTGTAGAAAAGGAAAGTCTATGGACAAAGATCGCAAGTAAACTGGGCTTTGGAATTGCTGCTGTTGAAGCTAAATCCAAAGAGTTTGATCCCCAGTCTTTACTGTTTCCTTGGCATCTATTGAAGTCAGAAGAGGAGGATCACTGCTTAATCATTAACCGGAGGTAGATATCTTCATATATGTACTAACTACCTAGTCTTCTTAAGTTTGGCGCCAACGTTTCTACTTTATGATCTTAATTTCATATGCTTGCTTTAATTATGTCTCAGAAGAACATAAAAAAAAGTTTTGTTTTTGTTTCTAATGAGCAGCTTTGAGACACTATGGGTAATGGATTTGACCACTGGAGAGATAAAAGATGTTATCAAAGGTTTGAAAACCTTACCCTAGCTTAGTTGTTATGTATTTAGTATGTTTGTCTAACATTAACTTCTTGTGTGTCTGAAGGATTCCAAAAGATTCGAGATACCTGTGGAAATTTGATCACAGATAAATTATCTCTCTTGAAGGAAATGCCAAGTGATTGGTTGGAACAGCAGGCTGGTACTTACTTGTCAAGTAAAGATACCTTGTATGCTACCCTCATATCATCACTTACAACTTTCAACGGCCACGTGTTTGCTTGTGATACAAGTAAGCAGCTATTCGTACGTTACTCCTATCTTGTTTTATGCCGTTGTGGTCTTTCAAAATTTCTTCCCCTATTTTGACTGAAGCTGCACAGAAGGTGGTGAAAATGAATAGAGAAACTAGGGCCTGCTCCATGTTTCAGTTGGTGAATTACAGGATCCTTGGACTACCCTACTGGTGCTCCTTCCCACTGGAAAGGGTATATTCCCTGTAAGTATGGAGACACTGAATGCTCTTATTACACTAGAGCATTTATTTAAATACCATTAATGAAGAAAAAAAACTGCTCACTCTTTACCTGCTGACGATGCTTATTTTCTGGCTGATTTGCAGTTCTCCAACTCATGAGTTGTGGACTGATCATCTTCAACACTTCAACCAATTGCCAGGTTTATGTACTTACCATTGATTAATATATATTTCTTTGTTCTGAAATGATATCATACAATATATCTAATTAAGTGGATGTTGTGCTTGCATGTTTTTTTCTCTGTGTACCAGGCAGGACAGACGTAGATATAAAGGTCGACATTCCAATAGATACTGAACTGGTTGAACCATTGCATGAGGGATGTATCTGGCGTCATGCAAGAGGAGCTGCTATGAAGTCTCAGGAACAAACGCTGAACTGGAATCTTCGGAAAAGGTTGATTGTCCTTATCTGTTGTCTTCTTTCCTCATCTCATTCCTTTGGTGTTCCTTTTATACTGGGTCTCTTAGAAGTTCCTGCTTTTATGGTTTGCATACAGGTTGCCCAGAAGTGGTATGATGAACTCGATAATTTGGCATTTTCATCGGCTGCTGAATCAGAGACAATTGTGGAAGATGATGATAGCACAATTGCAGACACTGAGAATTTTGAGGACGACAAAGTTCGGATTCATTGTGCAGTTAATACGAGCCCTGGCTTGAGTGAGGTAACTACCTTATTGTTTCTACATCCAAATACCAACCGAACCCACTTAAAATCCGTCTCAACCAAATGGCAAAATCCTTTAGGTTAATGAGTTTCTACGACACTGTCATTAGTAACTAAATATTCCTTGTCCTACTGTGATATGAACACTACACCAGGATGCCTAACTTGTCTGCCTGAAGCTTAATGGTCACACTTTTGATTTCCAGGTGATCATATATGCACCACTATATCTGAGACTCAGAAGAGATGCGAATGTAGACGAAGAAGATAATCAGGATAAACATGCAGCGAGGATAGCTGATATCCTAAAATGGGGTAGTCACGGCTTAACCACAAGAGATTCATGCATTCAGCTCTTGTCAAGATCAGGAAAGGATTTGAGAGACCTCGTCTTTGTGAAACCACTGCATGTCAGAATAAGAATAGAATGCCCTAATCACCCTAAGGCACCCGATAACACGAAAGATATCATATTGACCAATTCCACTATTGATGTCCATGTCTCACTTTGAGCAAGTAAAAGGACCATGAGGGCAATTGATTCATAACTCAGTTTTGGTGATGTTGGTATAGTTGAATCTGGATCTCCAGTTCTCTGGATAGCTTATTCAAGGATCCGTTGTCTTATTGATTGATCTTTTGAAGCTTCAAAGGAAGCTCTCAGTTTTGGTGATGTTGGTATTGTCAATCAATTACCAGTTCTTCTGAACTAGACCGTTCCAATAAATGTGTAGTGGTTAGGTTAACCGGTTGAACCGTCATCACCAATGCACCTTTTCCAGAGCTTTTTTTTTGTGTTTTCCCCAAGGTTCAAGGCTCTGCCTTGCGACAAGTTGCAACCTAACCGAGTCCTTCTCTTGAGTACATTACCAGATGGAGGAAAAGGGCATCCCAAATGACAACCAGTATGTCTAGGTGTTGTGTAGGTGTGTCTAAGCGTTAGCGGGTTAATTGCTTCGTATATTTGAAAAATGAAGATTTTCGTATAATTTGCGTTTTGTAAAACTATGGATATATACGGGTTTTGGATCCATTATGGACTTGAAAAATACTATTATTTATTTCATAGATTTCATGAAGGAATTGATTAATTAGATTTGTATATATGAAGTGAAATTTACCTTTATTGCCCTCATTTACGAGAAGAGAAATCAAATAGGAGGAGTAGTTTGGTCTTAAATGATGGCTCAGTTTGACCTTGCTGTAGTTTTTTCGGAAGCAGCTTCTTGCTTGAGCTTTTAGAGAAGTACTTAAAAAAAACAGTTGAGTGTTTGGTTGAAAATTTATTAAAAGTGTTTTTTGATATGACAAGTTGTGTAAAATGACTATAAAGGACTTATAATATAAACTATGAATAATAATTCTAAACAATAAAATAGTCAAAATGAATCTTGTTAGATTTCTTTTATATTAAATAACACGATTTTATACTATATTTTATTTTTTAAAAATATATAAATGAAAGAAAATTATATTTTCTGAAATAAAATTAAAATATGGTAAGGATAATCTTGTATTTTCAAAACAGCTTTTCGCAGAAGCTCCAAATCACAACTTCTGCTTTTATGTTATATAAAAGCACTTTTCGGCTTTTCAAAAGCCGAACTTTTAAAGGTGTTTGACCCTGCTTCAGCTTTTGAAGCCGAAAAGCACTTCTAAAAGTCAGGCCAAACATAGGCGATGGACTTCAAAGTCCATGATCAATTCCCACCTAAAGTGGTGGAACTTTCAAGTTCGTAGGGTCCACGGATTTGGACCCTTAAAATTCGTGGGACCCACGGATTTTTTGCTCCAAAATACATGAAGCAAACATTGAATTTTGAACAAAGTCCATGATGGATCCAAATCTATTACCAAGTCCATCACCAAATCCATCAAGCAAACAACTCCTAGATGTAAATGTAACATAATATCTCATACTTGTCTAGAATCACAAGTTTATGAACCAAATACTATCGCGTCTACCATTCATTTCTAAACGTGCATCAACACTCATGGTAAAATATAAAACATAGTGTGGAGAAATGAGTAAGGAAGAAGAAGCTTGAATATAGCAAAACATATTGAGACGAAGAAGCGCAAAAAGAAAGAGGACGCTTCTGTAAATATTGTCGTCTCTAACTATATTCTAGCATATCAAAAGATAGAAAAAAGACATCATGACATCATTTTGAGACACGACTCAAAGCTGGCCAGAGGCCACCAAAGCCACAATGTGATTGTGACGCCTTCTCCTTAGCTTTTTGTCAAGGCGAAGTGTTTTCCTTCCGACTTGTTCCTAGGCGAGCTTAGACGAGTACCTAACCATGCTTTTTGACACCCTGATTTTTCTGTATTTGCGAAAAAATCTCCTATCGGACATAAATTGATAAGCAAATTAAGCAATAGGAAACGACTGAATCCTAATTAAGCTATAGTTTCAAACTTTCAATACAAACGGTTTTATACTTAAACTTTTCCAATACCCCCTCGGTACAATTTCCCAATCATGTTTTCTATTTCTTTTACCCGGTCTTAAGCTAAGCCAATAAAGGACTAAACTTTCGACACTTTTCTCACTCTCCCGCCACCGTAAGCAGAATGATCCTCAGACCTCTCTTCAACCAACAGCACTGCCGTGTCTTCTCCTCCCTCCATCGTCTCCTCACCAACGAATCAATAGTCCAACAACACCAACCTCCGCCGCCGTCGCTGCAACCAACGCCAGTTAACTCAGATCACCTAATTCGAGTCTGCACGATCCTCTTTCAACAACAAACCTTTCCAGACTCCAAGCTCTAATCCAAGCTCTCTACCTGCGACTTCCAGCTAACCCACGAGTTCTTCCTCCAAGTGTGCAACAGATTCCCTTTCTCCTGGCGTCCAGTCCACCGCTTCTTTCAATACATTCAGCAAACACCTTCCCTACATAACAATTTCGCCCACACCTCCGTCTCCTTCAATAAGATGCTCGATGTCTACGGCAAGGCGAGAAACATGGATCTGCTCTGGGAAACGGTTCAGCAGGCAGGCCAATTGGGGTTGGTGAGCGACAGAACGTTCGTGATTGTTCTCAGAACTCTGGCCTCCACGAGGGATCTGAAGAAGTGCGTGCAGTTTTTCCACCTGATGAATGATTCAGGGGTTGAATACAACTTGCGGAGGTTGAACAAGGTCGTGGAGGCTCTGTGTCGAGATGGGCTCATGGAGGAGGCCAAGTACGTGACTTTGAAGCTTAAGGACACCATTCCCCCAGATGGGTTCACTTACGGGTGCCTGATTAAAGGATTCTGCGACATCGGGGACATGATTGAAGCGTCAAAGGTCTGGAATTTAATGGTGGAGGATGTGTTTGATCCGGAGATCCAAGTGTTCGAGAAAATGATCGAGACGTTCTTCAAAAAGAACGAGGACACTGAAGCCGTGAAAGTGTTCCAAACCCTACGAGTTAACAGGATGGAAGAACTAGGACTCTCGACTTACAACCTCGTCATTTCATGGTTCTGCAAGAAGAGCAAGCTCAGCCAAGCACAACAACTGTTCGACGAAATGCGGCAAAGAGGAATTCAATCCGATTGCGCAACATTGGGATCCCTTCTCTTCGGGCTGTCATCAAGAGGCCGAGTGAACGAGGCCCAGAGAGTGCTGCAACAGATCAAGAAACCGGACATAGCCATCTACCAAGGACTGATCAAAGGGCTGCTGAGCTCTAAAAGACCCAGAGAAGCAACAGAAGTCTTCAGGGAGATGATAAACAGAGGCTGCGAGCCCATAATGCATACGTACGTGATGCTACTGCAAGGCCACTTGGGGAAGAGAGGGCGGAAGGGTCCCGACTCCACTGTGAACTTCGACACCATTTTCGTTGGCGGGTTGGTGAAAGCTGGGAAGTCGCTGGAAGCTACCAAGTATGTTGAGAGGATACTGAATGGCGGGATGGAAGTTCCGAGGTTTGATTACAACAAGTTTCTCCACTACTTCTCCAACGAGGAAGGAGTTGTTCTGTTCTTGGAGATGGCGAAGAAGTTGAGGGAGGTTGGATTGGTTGATTTGGCTGATGTGCTTGGGAGGTATGGGGAGAAAATGGCCACTAGAGATAGGCGAAGGAACATAGAGGGTTAACTTGTTCTAAAACAAAGAGTTCACTTTTGTTTAGGTTTTAAAATCGAGGAATTTTGTTGAGAGATCTACCTATTTACCATTTTTCAACGCATTTCTTTAAACACAGATTTCACTTTTCTATGGTAAACTAGTTTCTTACTCGACCCGTTGACTGGAGAGATTTATTTTATAATTTATATTAATTAACTTATTTATATGATTAAATCATTTTGGATCTTTTAATTATTCTGTGTTCTTATTCATAACAAAGTTTATAGTATGTTTATATTGAAAATTTCCAATATTTAGAACACTCACTTGTGATACTTTGGTTTTCTAATCATAAATTATGGCGCTGTCACGTCCCATTTAGAATTTATGTAAAAATTTGTCAACCAAAACACTAATATTTGGTGTGCGTCTACAGGGCTCAACAAATATCTCTATCTTACTTTACAATCATTCACGAACTAATCGCTTATTCAATTTTGAAACATGTTCTTAAAGTATACCAAAACTGAAAATGTTATTTCAACACTTGCAGTTGCAATCGGTAAAATCAATAACTTTGAGAAGCAAATAAACCAATGGATATGATAGAATGGAGGGAATAAGGGTAGCTTGTAATTAGGTTCAATTGTTATTTTGAAAATAATTGGGGAAAAGAATAAAATTTTTACTATTAAACTTGTGTTGAAAACACAATAACAAATTAGTCGTACGTACACTAATGGAAAACATGTGTACTAATAATCTTAGTATTCTAATTTAAATCACCTAGTCTATCACTAATATATATTTTTACCTATATGAAAACTACTACCAGGATTGGAGCCCCTAGCCGCAAGGAAACTATGCCTTCCCCACTCTGCTCCTGCTTCTGATTGTCTGAGCTGCCTTCTTCTTCTTCTTCTTCTTCTTCTTCTTCTTCTTCTTCTTCTTCTTCTTCTTCTTCTTCTTCTTCTTCTTCTTCTTCTTCTTCTTCTTCTTCTTCTTCTTCTCTCATGTCTCTTCCCCTTCTTTCTCTTCCTCTTCTGCCATTTTTGTTCAAGGAAGCTAACAAAAGTCTGTCGAACAAGAAGGAACCGTTTAGCTAACAATTTGAAATCAACAAACTATCGAAATCTAGATGGTAAAGCCCTAAATGCACCCAGCATACTGCATGAACCATTTCTCTGAACAACCAAATGAAAACTTCAAGCAACTAGTTCTTAGTAAAAGCAGCTGATAACGATTAATGGAGCAAGGGTATAAACCACCCACCACTATACAAAGATCAGGTCGAAACTCAAACTCCATTGTGGCTAAGGGACATGGAAGAAATTTAGACGAAGTGAATGTGACAAACCTGACTTCATGTACGCTGCACGACCAGAACCGCACGGCCGTGAGAAATTATGGCCTGTCCGTGTGAGCTCCCTGGGAATTCCACACGGCCACGAAGGATCCTTTACACGACCAGTGTGGCTTGCCCTCTCAAAGGGGTTCCACACGGCCACGTCACACTGCCGTGTGGAATTAAGGTCTGGCCGTGTGGTTTCCCCAGCTTTTCGTCCACGTTCTAACTTCGTCCAATCGGCCCAGAACTCATGCCCAAACCTTCCTTCACGTGCTAAGACCTGA